TTGTGTTCCAGCACCCCCTAACCAGCGGGCTTCTCTTCCCTCAGGCTGGCAAGCGACCCCCCGGCCCCGCCCTGTGGTGGGTGAGCGGCAAAGGGGAGGAAGTGAAGTGGAACTACAGAGAACTGAGTGAAATCACCCGGCAGGTGGCCAACGTCCTCTTGGGGCCCTGCGGCCTGCAGCGTGGGGACTGTGTAGCGGTGGTGCTGCCCCGAGTGCCCGCGTGGTGGCTGGTGATCCTGGGCTGCATGCGAGCAGGTTAGTAACTGACCCCTGGGACAGGGCACAGAGAAATGCTGCCTCTCTCCCCATAGAAGTCCCCTCCACAGAGCATGCCCATGCCATCCCTCCTCGTATGAAGATATCACCTGTCTTCCATGTATTGAGGCAAGCTATGCACCAAGCGCTTATGCAAGAGGTTGCTTATATGCATGGTGAACAAAACATAACCCGTGTATTCATGGGACTTACAGACCTTTGGAAAAAGCTGTCCAACTCCTCATTGCACACATAATTATTTAATCACAATTTTGATAAAGGGAGTGAGAATCTTATTAGAACCTACAGAAATGAAGTTAGCAAACTGTGACCCGCGGTCCAAATCCTGTCCACGGGTTGTTTTTGTAACTAAGGTTATATTGGAACACAGTGGTGCCTTTTTGTTTGCATATCGTCTGTGGCTGCTTCCCACTATAATTGCAGGCTTGAGTAGTTGGGTCAGAGAGCATCCGGCCCATAAAACCTAAAATATTTACTATTTGGTCCTTTACAGGAAAAGTTCTCCAACCTCTCATCTAAAGGGGGACTTGAACTAACTAATCTGAGGGATCACAAAGTCTCAATGGAAGTGATATTTGGTCTGAGATCTGAAGGATGAGTAGAGTTTGGCCAGGAGAGGAGGCAGAGAGGGTTGAGCTAAGCAGAGGGAACAGCATGTGTGAAGACAGAGGGGACGGAAGCTTGAAAACTTTGAGAGAACCCGGAAGGATGTCTGTGTGCCGGGGGTCCAGGCAGCAGGAGGAAAGTAGTGGCAATAGAATCAACCTGTCGAGATGGGCAGGTGCTGAATCGGCAGTGCCTCGTGGGCCACGGTGAGACTTCTAGACACTTATCCAGTGGAGAATGGGAAATCATGGATGGATTGCGTGATGTAATCACTCTCTTTGTGAAACGTCATGCAGGATGTTAAATAGAGAATGAGATGAAGAAGGCAAGAGTCAGGGTGGAAATCTCAGATGAGAGACAAAGGCTGATGGTGGCTCCAATTTGGATGAGGTGGTAGAGATGGACATAAGTCAATGGCTTCAAGAGACAGTTGGGGAAACTGATAACAGGGTTTTTTTTTTAGAAAGACAGCCAGGGAGACAGAGAAGTCATAGACACTTTGGCAACTGGGTAGATGCTGCTGTCTTTCACTGAGGGGTGTATTAGGAAAAGACGACGGTTTGGCAATGTTGAGTTAGGGGTGCCTATGTGATGTTCAAGGAGTGATGAGAAGTAAAAAACTGGATTTAAGGACTCAAATTCTGAGATGGAGACAGAAATTTGAGAATCATCAACCTTTAGATGAAAATGATGAGATATAAAGAGATTTAAAAAGAGCCTCAAGGAACTCCAGCATCCTCCTTCACAAACTGCTCTTCCCACTCCTCTCCTCACACGGCCCATCCCCATATATTATAAAAGCTTCCACCCCATTCCCCTGCTGGGGACAATGGACTGAGGGGGTCATTGAGGAGGGGGAAGATGTAAATGTGACCAGGAAGTAGGAGCAATCAGGGGCAGCTGAACCAATTTTAAGGTCTTGAAACCCCAGGGAAAGAGTAAACAAGCCATAAGAGAAAGGTGATGTACTGAGAGATTATGACCTGAAGGGAAGGAGAACCCCAAGGAGATGTGTCTGTTCTTCTGTGTGTCTGACTCAGTATGACCATTGTGATGGAGACACACGGAGGATGTTTACAGGTATGTGGTGAGAATCTGTGTGTTGAGAGTTCGAAGAAAAGGGGTCAGGTTTAAAAGCTATTTAACAGAAAGAGCAGCATGTGGTATCAACTTCATAAAAGGTGAAACATAAGTCTAGTTAGTCTACAGAAGATTTAAAAAATTGTAGGAGTCTCATCAAGATAGTAAACAAGAACAAGAAACAGAGAGATGGTATTCAAAGGGTACGAAGCCTCAGTTAGATAGGAGGCATAAGTCTTATTTTTTTAGATAAATTGCACAACATGCCAATAATTGAATGCTGTATGTTTGAATAACAGTAAGAGAGTAAATTTCTAAGTTCTCCTCACGAAAAATGTCAAATATTTAAGGTGATGGATATGTTAATTAGATTAATTTAATTATCCCACATTGCATTAAAAAATCATAACACCACTTTGTACCCCCAGAATATACACAACTACCCTGCGTGTATAATATATATATATATATATATATATACATACACACATATATATACATAAAAATCAAAAGCATTCTTGCCTAAGAAAATGCATTCAGTATCCCCAGGTTGGGCGAAATAGCCGGGACCCAGAGCACCAAGATATTTCAGTACCATGGACAGTCCTAAGTGCCTTTCTGCATGATTTTAATTATTGTATGAGACTGTGAGATACAGCAAACCCCTGTAGGGCTTTTTTTTTTTTTTCAGAGGGATGGGAGTGAGTGGAGAGGATTGTATGCAGCTTAGACTATCAACAATGTGACACTGGGCAACTCAATTTCTTTTCTTAGTCTCAGTAGGACACTCACAGCTCTGATAACCCAGGGAAACCTGGGTTCCAGTCATTCCCTGATTCTCACTTCCCTTATTATTGATACTCCTTGTGGGTCAACACTACTCCACCCCCCTCTTCCCCACTTGCTTCCCACTGGATGTTTATATTGGGCTTGCCTAGGAAAAAAGACCTCATGTTCTTCCAGCTCTCTAAGCCATTTGCCTTCTCTAGGACTCATCTTCACACCTGGGACTATCCAGCTGAAATCTGCTGATATACTCTATAGGCTGCAATTGTCTAAGGCCAAGGTCATTGTGGCTGGAGATGAAGTGGCCCAAGAAGTAGACATGCTGGCCCCTAAATGTCCTTCTCTGAGAATGAAGCTCCTGGTGTCTGAGAAAAACCAAGATGGGTGGCTGAACTTCAACACACTACTAAAGTGAGTATCTGCATGTCTCAGCCTGGGTTTTCACCAAAAGTGAAAACTGAGCCAAGCACATATGTGCAGGTGCTTTATCTGGGAGGTCCAGAAAGTAGAGTGTGGGACTAGGGAAAGTGAAGCATGGAAGAAAGAAAAGCCAATACAGAGTTTTTTGTTGAGTCATTGCAAGAGCTAAGGGATGCTTGATCTGCTGGTACCTTCTGAGGAGCACATAGAATGTCTCCCAGGACTTTCCACTAAAGGACAGATGAGAATTGACACATCAGCACCTGACCCCCATTGGTTGAGGATTATCCTAGGGGCATTGTCTACCCCACACTTCTGGACGGTCCATGCATACATGAAGAGTGGGATCGGAGTCCCATGGCATGATGGCAACAGAGACCATGGGCACAAAGACCATGGGGCACAAAGTGAATCACTTGTGGTGCCCCCTAGAAACAACATGGTTTTAACACCAGTAGGTTGAAGCCCACCCAGAACTGTTCACTGCAACATGGCTCAAATCAGAGGTGAGGCCAAGAGCATATGAGATAAAACCCAAGAGATAGCTGATATATTGTGTTTCTAGGCTCTTCTTCCCACCTTCTGTATTCTTAAACCAGGCTTCTCAAGGACAGAGGAAGCTCTACGTGTCCTTCAAAAGTTGATAGCAAAACTGGCTGGATGAATGAGTTTCCCTGTCACATGTCTCATAGCCCTCCACTAGGAACACATACCTTTCGAATCTTTTAGGGAGAACTTCCACTTTTCCTTTCTTAATGTCATGGCCTTTAAGGTAACTGTCAGAGAAATAAACAGTGTGATGCCAGCTTTGAGTCCAAAATCAGAACACTAGAGGAGATATCCAAGAGATGTGTGGGTGCTTCCAGGGAGTAGAAAAGGGTGCCAAGAAAGCACTTGGAAAACATTTAATAACTGCATAACTCCTGTGCTCTTGGTATGTAAGGGCTTTTAACAACAATTAGATTACCATTTATTGAGTTCTTGCTAAACAAGCTGCTTGTTTCTTCAGTGACAAAGTGAACTTTCTCAATAACTCTATGAGACAGGTATTATTGATCTCACTTCACAGATATTGAAAGTTAGACTCAGAGAAGTTACATAACTAGTCCAAAGTTACATAGTTCACAAAGTGCCAAACCTGAGTGGTTTTCAAGTGTAAGTCCAACTGACTCAGAATCCCATGATCTTAACCTCCCAAAGTCTCCCTTCTGAAGCGGGTCAAGTGACTTGCCCTTGGTCAACATGGGAGATGATAAGGAAAGACGGGTCACTGTGACAGCTGGTGTCTAGGCTAGATCTGAGAAAGTGACCATCTGTGTCTCCTTCAGAGAGGCATCCACCACTCACCGCTGTGTGGAGACTGGAAGCCAGGAAGCCGTAGCCTTTTATTTCACTAGCGGGACCAGCGGCCCTCCCAAGATGGTGGAACACTCCCACGCAAGCCTGGGCCTCAAGTCCAAGATGGATGCTGGGTAAGCAGAGCCCTTTCACTCTACAGAGAATTGCATGACCAGACATGAAGACTTTTCTGAGTTCAAATCCAATATTCCTGGGCTCTGCTACCATCTGGTGCTTCTGAGAAAGATAACTGGGAAGGAGGGCTGAAAGGCACGTGGCTTTACATGCTTGGCCATCCAGACACCTTCGATGGGATACTTCTGTTTCAGTTAACATGGGATCTCAAAACCTCGCCCATGTTTTAAGCCATGTGCCTACTAGAACAAGGTTTCTAGGCATTTTCCCCAGAAGGATCTCTATCTTGCCCTTTGGGGTGCTGGTAATTCGCTTTGATGCTAATACACTTTCCAAGAGGACATTTTTGTC